GAACTCCCTATGTACTACTCGGCCTGCCTCCTGACTGCAGGGCGAGGCAGTCCAGGAGGCTGCTCTCGCCAATGCCGAAGGGAGTCAGGGGCTGCCGCTGCAGCTCCTGCTTGAGGCTGTCGTGGGAACAGGCCAAAAATAGCCTGTTCCCGAACCCTGGTTTTGTGCCTGAGTGTTAGGGYAGGTCGATCTTATGAGGGCCCGAAAGTGGCCCTCCGTTTCAGGCTGAAAAGCCCTGTTTTAGGCTGAAACGACATAGGGCCTGCAGGCCCTCGTTTTCAGTCTTTCAGGCTGAAACGACATAGGGCCTGCAGGCCCTCGTTTTCAGTCTTTCAGGCTGAAACGACACGGGGCCTGTAAGCCCTTATTTCTAGGCTTTTAGGCTGAGAATGCGGGACGGGCCCTGCAGGCCCGTGTGGCTACGCAGTACGCCCCCCCCCCTCCTCCTTGAAAGACCGAGCTTACCTGCAAGGGCGAAGCTGTCTGTCTGAGGGAGGGACCACAGTCCGAGTGGGAGGGGCAGGTCGTGAAGGTCCCTAAGCTAACCTTTGTCGCTCGTAGTGAGCGTAGATCAGCGGTGCGGATCCTTTCAAATCTGTTCCTGAAATCCACCGAGTGTCGTTGGGATCGCATGCTTTGAATGTCACTTTGTCCTGTCGAGGCTTGCTGCCGTACTTGCGATCCGTGATGACGCGGTCAACTTCCTGATGACCATCCATAGAAGGAGGGTCCTGCGATCGTCGGCCCGGGAAGTCGTCGCTCTTAGCTGGTGTGTATGTTGCCAGCTTCGAGACGTGAAAGACTGGATGGACCATCAGATGCGGGGGGATGTTGATCACAAATGAAGGGCCATCGGGCTCATCGCCCGCGGCTGATGTTACGGGCCATGGTCCAAACCACTTGGGAAGCAGTTTGCGTGAAACATCCTGTTCCAGTGCAAACTCTTCCGCGGAGATCCAAACCAGATCAACGGCGCGGATGGGACATGGCACGCGACGCTTGTTGGCTTACTGCTGCATGCGGACTTGAGCCTTTTGCATATTCGCGCGGGCTTGAGCCAGCAATTCCCTGTACTTCCGGACGAAAGAGGGAGAGCAAGCGTCGATGTCGGCTGGTCGTGGGAGGAGAAGGTCGGCGAAGATACGGCCTTTCCGTCCACCGTGGTGCAACTCGAATGGAGTCACGCCGATCGCCGAGTGCACCGAAGTGTTGTAGGCGAACTCGATGTCGGGGAGGCGGTCAACCCAATCTTTCTGGTCCAGACGAATGAGCGTACGAAGCATCATTTGAGCGGTTTGATGTGCCCGCTCCGTTTGCCCGTCTGTCTGTGGATGCCGAGCCGAACTTGGTTTTATCTTCGTGTCGGACTCCTGCATGAGAGCAGTCCAAAATGTCGACATGAAGCGAGTGTCGCGGTCGCTGACTATGTTTTCCGGTACACCGTGGCCGCAAATCCAACCGGTGTGCAAGAGGCGTGCCAGCTCGGGCGCCGTGGAGTAGTACTTGCAAGGGAGAAAACCCGCATACTTACTCAAACGGTCCACAACCGTGTGGATGTCGTCGTGCCCGAGGCGATCGCGGGGAAATGGTCCAGTGACATCCATGGCAATAGAGAGGCCGGGTTCCCGTGGGATATGCATCAGGCGCAACTCGCCGTAGGGGTTGCGATTGCGGGGCTTGCTTCGTCAACAAACTTCGCAAGAGTCGCAATACCGAGTGACATCGATAATGAGGTCTGGCCATCGGAATCGTTGTCGAAGCCGTGCAATAGTGTCGTTGACTCCGAAATGGCCGGCGAGTGGCGAGTCATGGTACTCCCCGAGAAGGCGAGTCCGAAGACGACGGTCTCGTGGGACACACAATAAGTCCTTGCCTCTCGAGTGGAGGAGCAAGTACCCGTCGGCAATGCGATAGTGGCTGGCCGGCGGGTGATCCGAAGATACATGCGCATACAACGTGGCGAAGTCCGGATCAGACTCGTAGCCCCGGATGAAGTGCCGCTGGAGTTCCTCGTCAAATGCGAAAGCATGATGCGTCACAGCGCAAAGATCAGGTCTTCTAGAGAGTGCATCTGCTGCGCGATTGGAGAGGCCGGGAAGATGTTTCCGTGTGAAGTCAAATTGGTCGATGAAGTACATCCATCTTCCGATCGTGCTGCTCACCGTATCCTGCGTCTTATAGTAGGTCAATAGGTTGTTGTCCATGACCCATGTGAACCTACGACGCCCAAGGAGGAAGTGCCGCCATCGCTTGAGAGCCATCACGAACGCGAGCAGCTCCTTCTTCCTTGCATCATCAAGTGAATTGATGGGAGGCATTTTGTGGCTGAAATACTCTACAGGGTGCCAGTCGTTGCTGTCGTGTTGTTCCAAGACTGCCCCAATGCCATAGCCGGAAGCGTCAGTTGTCACTCTCGTAGGCAGGGTGGGGTCATAGATGCTAAGGACGGTTGCCATGAGCATGGCCGTCTTAAGTGCTTGGAATGACCGGCGTGCATCGTCATCCAATACGAATGGAACCTTTGGCGATTGTAATCTCGTCATAGGTGCAGCAATCCTTGAGTACCCGGTGATGAATCGTTGATAGTAACCCGCCAACCCCATGAATGAACGAACGTCCGTGGTGTTGGTGGGCTCGCGCCATACGCGAAGGGCCTCGATCTTGTCCGCAAGCGGACGGATGCCTTGCGGCGTCACATAATGTCCCAAGTACTCCAGCTCCTGCCGCACGAATTCGAATGTGTCGCGGTTAGCTTTGTACTTGGCTTGTCGTAGCCGCTCCAAAACGGTGCGCAGGTGTTCCACATGCTCGTCCAAACTCCGGCTGTACACCAAGATGTCGTCGAGGTAGATAAGTACGAATCGATCCAGCATGTGTCGGAACTCCGTTGTCATAGCCGCTTGGAAAGTGGTCGGGGCATTCGTAAGGCCAAATGGCATAACCAGCCATTCGAAATGCCCATATCGCGTCTTAAACGCGGTTTTGTAGCGGTCCTCCTGCCGAATCTTGAGTTAGTGATATCCCGACTTGAGGTGAAGCTTGGAGAAGAACTTGGCGCCGCCCAACCGTTCGAGGAGGTCGTCGATGCGTGGAAGAGGGTCGGCGTTTCTGATCGTTTGCGCGTTGAGCTTGCGATAATCGATGCACAACCGCAAATCCTTGTTCTTCTTCCGGACGAAGAGAACGGGAGCACCGTATGGCGATGAGTTAGGCCGAATCCAACCTTTCTCCAGAAGGTCGTCGAGTTGTGCCCGTAGCACACTTAACTCTTTCTCGCTCATTCGGTAGATGCAACCACGCGGAGGTACAGCCCCGTCCTCGAGGATGATCTCGTGGCGGATGGGCCGATCCGGTACTACTCCGTGCGGAGCTTCGAATACGTCGCCGTAGGCGTCGAGAAGCTCAGTGATGCATAGGTCTAAAGATGAGTCCGTCGATGAAGCGTCATGGGGCGGGAGGGCGTGGAGAAAACACACCCCCATTTCCTCGATGTCGTCCCTGATGATGGAAGCTCGCAAGCTTGCGACGGACACCACGTGGCAGCTGATCGAAGGGTGAGGAGGAGGCACCGTGCATGGGACTAGTACTCCGTTCCGATCACGGACGTGAACGGTGCGGCGGTAGAAGTTCACCGGGCGATCCTCACTTCGCAGCCACGACATGCCCAAGATCATGTCGAATTTGGTGTCTAAAATATCGAAGGACACCGCCTCGCTTGCATGCGGGGCAAAGTACACGGGGACATCATCTATGCACTGGTCGATTGACTTGTGCGTGTGACCGTCTGCCAACGTGACTTGCGTAGGCTGGGACTTCCTCTGGACGCGTGGGCCGAGGCCGGCGCATACCATAAAGTCCTGGCTCATGTAGTTGCAAGATGCTCCGCAATCATGTAGTTGCGAGATGCTCCTCGTAAGTGAACCGAGGACTTGCGACATTCACATCCTCCCCAGATGTGTAGGAGGCCGCTAGCAAGGTGGCCGAATCTGGCGGAGTGAGAGGTGGAGTCGCCTCACCTCCCGCGCAACTCAGTTTCCCGAGTTGATACGAGGCCGAACATCCTCCTTGCCTTGATCAAGACATTGGGAGGTCTTGTGCTTGGTGTTGTTGCACCAATAGTAGCAGCCGTAGCGGTCGCGCCACTTGTATTCCGCCTTGGTCAAGTGAAACTTGACCCATGGTGTTGGCTGTCTATTTCCGGTCGGTGATGCGGTTTTCGCCTTCCCGTTTCCTCGGGACTTCTTGTTGCTTCGCGGCTGGACAACAGCCACCTAATCTCCCTCATGTGACGCTTGGGTGGCTGCCGGGTCTTCCACAATGTTGTCCGATTGGACTGCAGCGACATGCTGTGGCCGCGGACCAGTTTTCACCTTCTCCACATAGGTTGGCTGCCATGCTGATTTCTCATGTGCAGCTGCCCTATTGGTCTTGATGATCTCCCTTGCCTTGTCTATGATTTCGGCGAAGGTCGCGTATTGCTCGCGATCACCAAGTGCAAGGCTCAAGGTGGCACATGACCGGTTGTAGAACTCCAGGTGCAGATGCGAAAATGGCAATTCGAGATCCGGCGTCGCCGCGATCTTTTGTCATTCCGTGAGCCAGTCGCGTGTTGTTGTGTTGCCTTGCGTCATAGCGAAGAGGCGGTTGATGGCGAGCGTCGCGGCGTTGTCTACGATGAACCGCTTCTTCCATAGCCGTGTTAACTCTTCCCAAGAGATCTTATCTTTCAGATCTGCGACGTCGACGCCATGGAAGGTGACCAGGTGGCTCAACCAGATCTGGCATCCGCCCTTTGAGTTGAGGAACAACGCGCCTATGTACTCGTGCTTGGCGACGAACAGAATCCGAAGTTGCGTCGTAAAGCCCTCCCACCAGAGGACCGGGTCTTGATGCGTATAATCATCGAACTTCTCATGTCGGCATCTTGTAGTGCTACACGGTGTTGCCATCCTTGTTAGGCAGCTGGTGCAGTTGCTGAACCTTGGTCTTGAAGGTGTCCAGCTGATTGCTGATGGTGGCTGGTGCAGCGAAGGTACTGATGTCGCCGAGCATTGCGACAACGTGGTCAACTCGTTCCTCCAGTTGNCCAGCTGATTGCTGATGGTGGCTGGTGCAGCGAAGGTACTGATGTCGCCGAGCATTGCGACAACGTGGTCAACTCGTTCCTCCAGTTGGCGGGCAGAGGGTGCACTGCTGGACTCGCCAGCCTCCGGTCTTGGTGCAGTTTGCTCCAAGTCCTGTACACGGGAATCAAGTGCCCGCGCTGCATCCTCGTGCTGAGGCCCACTGGAGGTTCGCCAGCTCGGACTGTAGGTGGTTACAAGTGTAAACCAACCTGGTCACGAGTTTGGCCATGAATTCCTTGTGCTGCTCTTCTGGTGTCGCGTCGTCGTGCTCCTCGGATGGTTCAAAATGCCAAAACTTGAGCTTTTCTATGCTAGTGGCTTCATGCCGCTGTTGCAGATCCTGGGCCTCTTTTCGGCGTGGCTGGGTATCTGCTTCAGTTTCGGCTTGAAGTCGCTGCCTCTCAGTTGTTGCCGCCGCTTCAGCCTGTAGGCGGACAGCCTCGGCTGCCACCTGGCGCTGTTCCTCAGCTATTACATTAGAAGAATATTTTGCTATTTCATACCAATTGCGTGTAAACAGGCAAAATATTAATCCAATTAGAGTAACTAAAGGTAAGATTAATACTATTTCATTGCAAAAAATAATCGAATTTACTAAGCTACTGAAAAATTTGCAATTAAGTAATACAAATCTTTTTTTAAAATCATGGTTATTTCACTACACAAATTATCATATTTATATAATTATTTGAATAATCAATATTACTAACGAATAGATAATATATAGTATATAATATCAATATCAATATATAATACTATTGATACAGTATTAGTGAATATGATATATTACATTAGAAGAATATTTTCCTATTTCATACTAATTGCGTGTAAACAGGCAAAATATTAGTCCAACTAGAGTAATAACTAAAGGTAAGATTAGTACTATTTCATTGCAAAAAAGAATCGAATTTACTAAGCTAATGAAAATTTTGCAATTAACTAATACAAATCGTTTTTTAGAATCATGGTTATTTCACTACTAACGAATAAATAATATCTAGTATATAATATCAATATCAATATATAATACTATTGATACAGTATTAGTGAATATGATATATTACATTAGAAGAATATTTTGCTATTTCATACCAATTGCGTGTAAACAGGCAAAATATTAGTCCAATTAAAGTAATAACTAAATGTAAGATTTTCTTGTCGGAATGATTATTGTATTTTGTGTAGTGAAATAACCATGATTCTAAAAAACGATTTGTATTACTTAATTGCAAATTTTTAAAGTAGCTTAGTAAATTCGATTCTTTTTTGCAATGAAATAGTACTAATCTTACCTTTAGTTATTACTCTAATTGGACTAATATTTTGCCTGTTTACACGCAATTGGTATGAAATAGCAAAATATTCTTCTAATGTAATATATCATATTCACTAATACTGTATCAATAGTATTATATATTGATATTGATATTATATATTAGATATTATCTATTCGTTAGTAATATTGATTATTCAAATAATTATATAAATATGATATCCTTTGCTTTTCAAGGATAATGATAGAGTCTGAGCTTTTAGGTAACTAAAAGGCCACTATTGAGTGTGAGTGGCGTTAAACCATACATGTATAAATTACCCGGACTAAAAATTAATAACAAAATCAAATTGAGAATGTTTAATTAACACATTGAGATGTCGGCTCTTCGCCACCTGGAGCGGTAGTACGTTCCAAGGGTTGGGYTGTTCGCCCATGAAAGCGGTACATGAGCTGGGTTCAGAACGTCGTGAGACAGTTCGGGCTGAGTCTGGAACCGCTGTTTGTACTCGGCAATAGACTCGTTGGCCAGTTGGCCTGGCATGCCCAGAGCTGAGCCCGTCATGGTGGCAGGGCACTGCTGACGTGGCATTGTGGCTGACGTGGCACTGCTGACGTGGCACTATTGTTGACGTGGCACTGTTGACGTGGCACTGTTGCTGACGTGGCACTGCTGACATGGCACTGTGGCTTACGTGGCACTGCTAACGTGGCACTGTTGCTGACGTGGCACTGCTGACGTGGCAATGTACGAACCCGGAAATGCATGCAAAGGGGTGGGTGGGAGGGAAAATACAGGTAGGGAACCAAGTTCAACCAACCCAAGAATACTTTCCTCCCGGCCCAAATCAACAGATAAATAAATAAAAAAAATAAAAAAGGGGACTACTTCCTTTTTTTTTTTTTTTTTTTTTGTATATCTGTCGATCTGCTATGAGTGAGACATGTCAGAAGAGTACTATGAGCGAGATCTAGGCTAGGTTCCGCCAAGTTTCGGCTTTCACAAAAATGCGATGTTGAATTTTTTTTTGCGAAATAGAGTACAGATGTGATTTTCAAAAAAAAACTAAATCCAGTTTCTGAGAATATGGCAACCTCCTCATATGCTTACAACGAAATGCTGGTAGGCTTCGCAAGATTTCGGTTTTCAAAAAAAAATTGCGAGATAGAATGGAGATTCGATTTTCATAAAAGAATAAATCCGATTTCCGAGAATATGACCACTTCTATCGTTATCCTAATATGCCTAGAACACGAAATGTTAACATCAAAAATTTCGGCTATGTATGCGAAACATCAGAGAAACAAAATGCTACTATCAGGAATTTTTAGATAAAACGAAATGCGGTTATCAGAAATTTTCAGATATTTGTTGCGTGAAAACGAAATACTAATATCAGAAATTTTCAGGTAAAACGAAATGCGATTATCAGAAATTTCCAGATATTTGTTGCGAGAATTTTTTTTTTTCCATAGATTTGACGAAGTCCTACTTGATTTACTAGGAGTGATCAATAGATCAAGCAAGCTGGCTACTTAAGAACTCTCTCTCTCACTCTCTCAGTCCGGTACTAACCTGTGAAGTTGGCGCC